CGACACGATTCAACACCAAATTTTGCTAAATAAACTTCAACTGCACGAAATACGAGGAGTAGCGTTGGCTTTACTAAAACATTATCTAACAAATTGCCTTCAATTTGTCAAAGTTAACAACTCGGTCTCAACCACGTTGGAAGTAAAATATGGTGTCCCCCAAGGTTGTATCCTAGGCCCCTTGTTGTACCTCCTTTATATAAATGACATTACTGCTAATCCTAGATCTCCAGAACTGATTATATACTCAGATGATACAAACGCATTTTTCGCCTCTGCCTTCGAGGCATTCCTAGAGTGAATGGCAAATAGCCATCTCGCTGAACTAGCAGTGTGGCTCTATAAAAATAATCTGCAATTAAATTCTAAGAAAACCAAGTATATAATTTTCGCTTCAATAAACAAACATGATAATACTCCAATAACTCTATATTTCGAAAACACAGTTATGAAGCAAGTCCCCGAACAAAAACTTTTAGGCGTTTGGTTTAACCAGGAGCTTAGCTGGAATACGCATGTAAATAAGTTGACTGCCGAGCTTTCTCAGGCAGTTGGATGTTTGTATAAAATAAGAAACCTGACCCCTACATGGGTTAAAAAACAAATATATTACTACTTTTTTACTGAAAGTTATGCTACTGTATCTTAGTATGGGGGTACACAACGCTTACAAACTACAATAAGATTCTTAAATTACAGAAGAAAAGTTTGCGGTTATTTGAAAGTTACACGGGAAACATGTAAGACCTTCCCACTGAGCCACTTTTTTTAGAAAACATGGTATGCTGAAGGTTAACCAAATTTATAATTTCAAGTTAATGCAACTAATCGAAACTGAGAAACTTTATGATATAACTACAAGTGAAGTAGTGCATAGATACACCTTTTGGCATTCTTAAGACGACCTCCACAGATTCGACCAAATTACGGAAAGCAAACTAGAGATTATCAGGTGACCAAATTATTAAATTCAATTGAAACCTTCGTGGATTTTAATAACTCATTTTCTAAATTTAAGAAAGAGCTGAGGACACTCTTGGTGGGCAGTGACACCGTTTTATATCCATTTTTATACATGTGCAAATTTATGGTTTTTTCTCTGAACTTGTGAAAAAGTTTCTTTCATAATCTATATTACGACCTGCGATCCTCTCTTGATGATGTATTATAAAGCCATGACATTGTTTGAATCGCTGATGTATACAGCTGTACGATGTATAGTATACTGTGTACCGTGTGTACCCAAAGGGGACAATGACCTTCGTCAGGCGTTTTCTGCCTTTAGTCTCTGTTCCCCTTTCGGTTGATCCGAAAGAAATAAAACTTCAAATCAAATAAAACTAATCCAAAGAAAGAAAGATGATGTGAGGAGGGTTCTTCCCATATGCAGCGCTTTCGATAGAGCATTTCACGGGAAAGGGGATTATGAGAGCACATTCTTGAGCATCAGATTTGAATCACAATGACTGGCTTTTTGTTTCCTTGCCGCACGGTGTAAGATAATACTTTTCAGGTGAGGACAGCGCGCTCCTCGCGACGTGCCGATAAAGTTCGCTTTTCACTCTCTCTCTTTCTCTCTCTCACTATAGTTTTAAGCGGCGCCGGTAGATGACTCGTCGACCCGTGGGTCGGTAACGTCCCTGGATATTTTTTTCATCGAGGGACTTTATGGGTCGGCGGTCCTCGTCTCCTGCGCTTTTGAATGGGAAACGCGTTTTTTAAAAGGTCGTATTGTGCATGCGGTGCGTTCCTTATAACCCGGAACTTGTAGTGTGTGTGTTGCTTAGGCATAGATTCGTCGTTTGTCTTAGTTTCGTGGCTCAACGGCAGCGAGGGCAGTTTTATGAAGACACTAAAACAGAGGCACTTGGCGCGATATTCAAACGGGCTAAGCGAGTATGTGTCGGCGCTTCCCTGGAATTTCAGCCCTTTCTAGGTCTCAGGCTCATGAGCATCAGACACTAAACACCTAATGTTGGGATTCATATTTTCCTTGCAAAACATCGCGGGGACAACATCTTTACAGCAAAGCAACGCAAGCTCCGCGAAGTATCGTCCTTTCACAATCATGTCGTTCGTGAAATTCTTGATGCAAACAAAATCTTAGGGCCAAGCGGACGGTGCTTGCGAGGAGTTGCTTGAGCCCACGCTTCCAGACATGTGGGGTCGGATGGGACCTTGAACAAACTGGCCTTTTCTTTGCAACTAGGGTGATCTGAGTTGCAGTTCTGGGCGAAGCATTTCCGGCCCATTGTCACCGCTTTGAAGCCGCGTCAAACGCGTGGTCAAACGCCGCACACGGCTTCTTCAATCTTCATTCCATGTAGCGTACGACGACCGGAGCTCCAAATATCATTGTTGCAATTAGAAACGAAGCAAAAACGTGCAAAGCGACTCTTAATAGGGAGTATTCATTGGCGGCCATATTTGTGTGCGCGGCTGCTGAGCGCGTACTGACGGCGAGCTTCCGCAGTTCTTTTGCAACATGCATTCCGCACCATCAATATTCCCGGTTTTAACAGCCTATTAATGTGAGCTCGTTCTGAGCATGCACTCTAAACAGCACCCTCAAATATGGCGTCCAGTGAATACCTCCTTTAGACCAATCTCACCAAGCGTTCGGCGCATGCGTGACGCAGCCATAACCTAAGTTCGCAGGAGGCAGGCGGCAGTGCACAAGACGGCTCGTGCCGCCTCATGCTCAACATGCGCAGAGCTCCAGCGAGGTTGTCGCACGTGCAGAAAGACTAAAGGCCGGTTCAGACACTTGCGTTTGAGTGCGTTCGACTGCGTTGCGTCGAGAACCGAAAGCGAGTCACCGGCACATCTGTGCTTCGTATGTAGCGTGGAATCCAATTGAAGGAATCATATTGGCACGCGATATAAGCAGCAGAGATGTCCTGGTTTGTCGAAGCCGCAACGCAGTCAAACGCAGTCAAACGCAGTCAAACGCAGTCAAGCGCAACTGTCTGAACCAGGCTTAAAGCTTCATCGATGCATTGCGGCAGCGGTGGCAAGTCAAACTGGCTGGTGAGATCAGTCTATTGTTATGCGGATATTTTTGGGGCAGACGCTGAGCAGGCGAAATTGCGGCACCGGAGTGTCATGGTAATGAGATATTTTTTTTCGTTCTCACACAGTTTGGCCGTTTGGCCGCCGGCGACACTGTCAGCCGCGGGCACGTACGGGCACGTAAAGCCCCTTTATACGAGAAAGTAGCGCCATCGTTTGAAGATTGCCACCTACTATCTTGGCCCGATCCAGTCGGCACTACGGTCCGGCACTATAGTCGATGCGCGAGTGTAAAAAAGCAAAACATAAATATGAAAGGTGTGCGCGTCAGCGGAAGAGGGAGAAGATGGCGCTACCTTTCTTATTCAGGGCCGTTACGGGCACGGTGGCCGCGGAATGATGCAGCCTTTCGGGTGCCCGTCGGACGAACGCTGATTCCTAGCGCCGCGTATTTAGCCCCGCCGTGTCATCACCTTAAGAGTGTACCTTGCACCGTGCCTTACCGTAATGCACAGTCACTGCGGTTTGGAAATAACACTTTCCGTGAGTTGTCTACGAGCAGAGCAACGTCGAAACTGAAGATCTCGAATCCCTGCACGATGGCGGAAAGAACAGAACCGGCGGGGTTGGAAAGCTGGAACCTTAAGAAATGCCTGTTTGTTTATCTTAGAGTGAAGGGAAAGAAATTTCACTTCGTCGTCGCTATCATATGTAGTTCAATATTTGCACCTTTTGTGGTTTTGGAACGTGGCGGTGTGCATTGGAATAGATTATTTCGCTTATTTATAGGCACTAGGTGCTTTCGAGAACTTGCTCGTGACTCTTGTGACGCGTTTTTTGCTGTTTTTTTTTTTCAGCAAGACTAACTGTGATTCACTCAAGAACGGGGAGGAAGCGCGAGAAAATATTGGAAACAAGAACCCTCTGTGTCAATGACAGAATCAGTGCCACTTTTGCTGAACTTTTCAACCTCGAATTTAAACCACCTTTCAAAAGATGGCGTAAGTGCGCGTCGTCTGCTACAACATAAGCCCCTTTTGATATTTGGGAGAATTAGCACGCTTTCAAAATATAATCATGGAAAGTTATTTTAAATAGAACGAAAAAACTCTAAATAAAATGTCATTGTTTAAATAGCTGTCCTCTTCTTTGAAACTGGTTTCTCGCATACAGAGTCGAGCTTCAAAATAGTCCCGTGATTTAAAATTATTGTAAACAATCAAGACAACCAAACCAGCGCAACAGAGAACTAGCCTAGTTCCTGTAGCATACAATTAAAACAAATCAGATCAGATTCTAGAATGCTACCGGAGAAAACCAAGAACGCGTGAAAAGAATTCTTTGAAATTTTATCATATTCAAATAATGTTTGAAAAAAAAAAAAACTGCTGGCGTTGCACTTTCAATATTTTTTATGCTGAGTTCCTGTGTTTACCAGGAGCATGCCCTTTAATGTTGTCGCGTTATGATGTGAAACTGAGTTAAAACGTTTCAAAAGCGTGTAATATAGAAACTTTTTTAATAAATATTAAAAATATGCGAGTGTACTAATTATGAAAGAAACGTAAGTACAGAACCACAGGAGCCATTTATCTATTTGTTAAATAAATCAGAACGGGACTTGGATCCATTACAAGTCTAAAATCATGGAATGCGTAAAGGCGTGTCTTTGAAAGTGCTAAAGCTTGCACTCTTTGTTTTTATATTGTGCATTAATTAAATAAAATGCATGTCACATTCTGCACTAAGACACGGATGATGATTTGAAAATTTATTTGCAAAAATTACAAAATACGTGGAAAGCGCACAGACGTGACATTTGCACCGCGAACAGGAGTGTTAGCACAGCTGCCACCGGTAGTATATATTGTTGGGGTCGTGGGACCGCCACCTTAGAAAACAACATTTTTGTGCAGTTATACCTCCACCCAAAAATACGTAATCGGCTAACCACTCTCGAACAGTACTGTCAGCGTCGGCTTAAGCCATTACTCTTCTTTGCTCATAGACGTGGGCAGTTTGCGAGCGTTCCGCCAGCTTCCGTAAACCTTGATGTAAAAGCGTACAAACATGACGAAGAAAAAGACTATCTCCAGTTCAACAATAATCAAGTGGAGTTTCGGGTAGCCACAGTCCTTGAAGTGCGCGAACAGGACATGGGCAAAGATGACGATGAACTGGAGCAGCTGGAGCTGAGTGACGTAGCGCTTCCACCAAAGGTGGCGGCCCACGGCGGGCCCCAGTAGTGATAGGAAGTAGTAGGAGTACATGATAGTGTGAATGATGGAGTTGAGGATTATGCTTAGAGCGACGTGTCCGTCGAAGCCGTACGCCAGACCGTACCAGCCGTTGAAGACAACGAGGATGTGATGAGTGACATGCAGGAAGGACACGTGGGAGTCCTTCTTGCGGAGCACGAAGAACACGGTGTCCAGCAAGTCACCTATCCTCACCCAGAGGTACCACCAGCAGAGCTCCAGGAACTCCATCGTCATCTTGTCTTTTGCTTCGAAGTTGATGCCCTGGCAAGTGAACTGATAGCCGCCGCCCAGATAGGATCTGGTCAGGATCTTAATGCCAAAGTAGGCGCTCAAGAGGACCATGGCAAGATTGTAGACGAGCATGATGGGCTTGATGGCGTCGCACGGCTTGCGGTTCTTCATGAAGCGGGGCCCTCCGAACTTGACTATATAGACGTAGGCGATGATTGTGGTGAACAGAAACGGTATGTTGCCGGCTAGTGGCCAGTTCATGGTGCGCGGGTCGCGGTGCGGTACGACACCGGTGACGTCGAAGATGGGAATCGCGGAAGACATGCTTGGGTTCTCGCTCTTTCGGTGTTTGGATTCAGTAATGGCACGCCGCACGTTTAATTATTATAACGGGACCGCAGCTGGTATTTACCTAGCGCATGTTACTGACGTGGGCTACATGTGTTTTCATTTACTTTATGCTCCAGCAATTATTTCTGACTTAATGATCCGGAGAGTCACGATACTTATGGAAACACGTACAATGTTTCAGAACCTAGTGAGGCATGTATTTGAGGAAGAACTAATAAGCTCGCAAGGCTTGAGAACACCAGGAGAACTGCACGTGGGCTCTAAAGAGGGGTACACTAAAAAGTGTTCAAAAAAGATTTTGTGTCAGTTTTAATTTTGTGCGCGGGCCCTTCCATACATTTCCAAGTATACTTTCGCGGACAATGGGAGCAGAAACCGAGTTCGTGCTGTTTTGGACTACAGGCCAGTTTTTGAGAGAGCTGCTGGCCTGAACTGCTAGTGGAATGCGAAGTTGGGGTCTCATTCTTCGGACTACTCGACAAATGGAAAGATAACAGAGCTTGGTGGGGATCGCAGACGCCAAAAACGACCGGATCGGGTGTTTTAGCTTAAATTGTCCGCGGAGTACATTAAATGTAAAATTAAAACCGGATGATTGGAAACGAAACCGATTATTCGAACACTCTCGCAAACGTTAAGATTATATGTACATTAAGTATTACCTAATCAAAAGCTCTTTTTTTTTTTTGGCTTGGCCAAGAGTCATGGTGGGTGTAAAGCGAAAAGTGGAAGCTTGGAGTCGTTGCATTATTATACTAACACCGTGAAAGTTGATCGTCTGACATTAATCTTATTTTAATAAATGGCAGCGGTGAACGCCAACATCATTTCTAACGTTATCGTCATGTGTGCAGGTGAGAGTCCGACAGACGTCGGTGTCAGTATTTGCCCGAAACTTCTTGAGTACTGCTGCCGAACACAGCATACGTTATTTTCGTGGGCATTATTGTGCCATCTGTGCTTGAGCCACTTTGCCATCCGAACTGAGTAAGGACGTAAAAGAGTTTACTCAAGCTATTGATGAGCTTCATAGGAAAATACGAGCTGAGCTTAGAGGACTCAAGGAGAGTGTTAACTTCTTCAGTGGCACTTGTGATGACTTGAAGAAAATACCAGTCGAAGTCAGGGAACTACGCAGGGAGATACGAAACATAACACAGCAAAACAGGGAGTAGCAAACTGAAAACCGTCAGCTCACTAGCAAGGTGGAAGAGCTAGAACAGTATGTGAGGTATAATAACTTGGAGATTAAAGGAGCACCTGCAACGGGTAACCCAACCGACACCGTAAAGAAAATCGGTGAACTGGTGGGTGAACCCCTTGAGAAACACTGATATTGACATTTGCCACTGGTTTCCCTCTCGAAGAAATGAAAAAAAAACAAAAAAACACATCATAGTACGCTTTGTTTAGCGATCCAAACGATATGCGTTGCTCAAAAAATGCAAAAAAAAAAAAAAATGCCATCGACGACCTTAGATATGTGAGCAGCGGGATCCGAAAATCGTATGTATGTAAACGAGCACCTGACGAGGCAGAATAAGCAGTTACTTGAAGCAGCAATCGCCTGCAAGCGCGAGACTATACTTTGTCTCATCCTGCGATGGACTAAAGGCTAAAGCCACGTGCCGCCAGGTCCAATCACGTTACATGCTAAACTATGATAACATTGATTAGGGGTGGACGAATAATGCTCAGAGTCAAAAAGCGCTGCATCATTTCTATAGCTTCGACACTGCAAAATCTGTATGTTGTAACTTTCTTTGCGATATAAAAGTGATAAGTCACTCAGTGCTATTCAGTTCGAACCAGTGTCCACCCATACCCATTAGTGATCCTAGACGGAGGCACCGACACGTGCATCGAAGTGCGAAATACCACGCAATTTCTAAGTGGCTCGTGATTGGATCTGGTGGCCCGTAGCTTTTACCTTTAGTCCGTCCTAGGATGAGACGAAGTATAGAGGGAAATTTTTCTGAACAGCTGGGGGGAAAGTGTATGCAAAGAAAGATGACACGTAGGCTGCCATCAGAATCGCGAATCAAAGTGATATTCAAAAAAATTGTTGCGTAATCGGACTCTCCCAAAAAAAGTTTCGATAAGTGTTGCTCTTATCTCATGACTTCCACTTTTACGGAAGACTCTGTGTTCTATGACGAGTCATCATTTAATCAAACATTTCAAGATACCAAAAATGCCTTTCCTTTAATTCATTTTAATACGAGAAGTATAATCAACAAACGAGATGACCTTAATTTGTTTTTCATTTCAATGTCTAAATTTTGATGTCCTTCGTTGTACGGAGACATGGGTCGCTTGATGGCGTCGCATGGCTTGCGGTTCTTCATGAAGCGGGGCTTTCCAAACTTGACTACGTAGACGTAGGCGATGATTGTGGTGAACAGAAACGGTATGTTGCCGGCTAGTGGCCATTTCATGGTGCGCGGGTCGCGGTGCGCTACGACACCGCTGACGTCGAAGATGGGAATCGCGGAAGACATGCTTGGGTTCTCGCTCTTTCGGTGTTTGGATTCAGTAATGGCACGCCGCACGTATACTTGTTATGATGGGACCACAGCTGGTATTTACCTGGCAAGCGAACGGGTGAGGGCGGCTCGCGTGGGTATCGCATATGTTACTGACGTGGGCTATATGTGTTTTAATTTACTTTATGCCCCTGCAGTTGTCTCTGACTTCATGACACGGAGTGTCGCGATGGTTGTGGAAACACGTACAGTATTTCAGACCCTAGTGAGGCATGTATTTGAGGAAGAACTAATGAGCTCGAAAGGCTTTAATACACCAGAAGAACTGCACGTAAAGAGGGGTACACTAAAAAAGTGTTTAAAAAAGATTTTGTGTCGTTCTAATTTTGTGCGCGGGCCCTTCCATACATTTCCAAGTATACTTTCGCGGACAATGGGAGCAGAAACAGAGTTCGTGCTGTTTTGGCTATTAGCCCCGAGAGCGAACACAAGCGTCGCTGCAGTCACCGCGCCCTGATTGGGTGAGGTGTACCGTGACGTCAGCGAGATGACTCCGCTCCGCGATCGCGCATCGGCTCGCTTCCCAGCACCGGTTTCCTGGTTTGGTGTTAATTGTGTGCCGCAAGCTCTTCGAGGAGCTGGACTTCGTTTACCCGATGTACAAGACGTTGAGTGAGGCCGATATTGACATGCTTTCGTACATTTTATAAGCCTGCTTGTCCCTTTTACCTTTAAAATTGGGTTACAAATCCCGAAAGCTATCGGCGGAGGCGATTCCGCCGATGAACCTCACCGTCTGTCTACACGACACAAGGCGATTTTGCGAGAAATCGGTGAAGCGGTGGCGCAAGTGTTTCAGACGCTGGAATTCTGTTCCTTGCATGTTCAATATTTAGGACGATATTACATCCCGCTTTCAAGGCATTTGAAGTGGAATTTATACCATGGGCCTTTGGGTGGTTGGCAAATTAGCTCGCGACCCCGACTCTGCGCTGCCACTCTGCATGCGCTGGTTCGCAGATGTTTTAAAGGCCCTGTGTCTCATTATCTTTGAAGTGCTCGTGGAACAGGGTTGTTTTACAGAAATGTAGCTTCTTCGTGAATTAATTATATAGTTTATACACGTATGCAGGCATATGTCTTAGAAGACGCACAATTACTGGAAATTAGTTTGAATGGTAGCAGGAAAAACGGCCGAATCGCCCCCAGTTGCCTGTATGATATGTATTGAACTGCCCAAAATATGCACAGCAATAGTGCCGTAATTTGGAATGTCTATACTTTTTCCTGACATTTTTATTCCAGCCTTGGGTATTCGGAAAATACACCGTTTAGTCTGAATTGTCATTTTCAATTAAAAGATACACTGCTGCAGGTCTCCAAAAGCTTCCTCAGCCTCCAAACTCCCTACAGCTGGACTCTCTGACAACAGAGGAAAACAGGAGTAAAAGCAAGCATTCGAATGTCTGTCCAGTGGTAGATGCAGCACTAGTAGCAGAAAATGTGGAGCCTGTGAAGGGCGGCAGCCTGCGTGAGAAAAGCTTCTGGTATTTTAGCTTCAGGGCAATTCGATTTAAGTAAAATTTCAATTTTAGGGCTCAAGGGACTAATAATGAGCTAAACACCTTCGCTTACGTTTGCTAAACAATACTTGACGGTTGATATAAACAAGTCCACAGATACCACCCGTGTAGTCCATTGAAATACTATCCGAATCCAGCAAAGGTCAAATGCGAGCAATGTATATAATAAATGTTCCTTGTTTTTTTACTTTGCCCCTGCACTTGGGCTGTCTTACTTGTGATTCTCTCCCCATGGCCCAGACTGTATTTAGCATGTTGCTCGAGCAGCATGCAGCTTTTCTGCTTCGGCGATCTTGTTTGAAAACAGAGATACAAAAAAAAAAAAGTATACATAACCTGCCAATTCGTTCAGACCATCAGCAGCATTTATTCTGCGAGATGTAAATCTATAGTGATGCTCCTGCAATTGTGGCCATATTTCTTTATTTTCATATACCAGCTGCGATTCATGCGTTGCCTGCCCTGTCAACCATGCTTAAAATGTTGGTTGAAGTTTCACCTGTAGCTACAGGCCATACCTCAATAAAGGCACATATAAAAATTCACACTTCCTACGAAAAACACGCCAAAAGAATTAAATAGGAGCGAGCGCGCCGACAGCTAGCGTCGTCACAGCCTCCGCAGGGCGAGCGGGGCGAGTCGGACGAAAATTCTCTCCTCGCCGTGACGTCACCCCGGTTCGCCGAAAGGGGGCGCCACGCGAACTTTTCGAGGCTAATACATGCCAGTTTTTGAGGGAGCTGTGGCCTGAGCTGCTAATGGAATGCGAAATTGGGGTCTCATTTTCGGACTACTCGACAAATGGAAAGATAACAAAGCTTGTGGGGACCGCAGACGCCAAAAACGACTGGATCGGGTGTTTCAGCTTACGCAAAAAAAAAAAAAGGCCGGATCGGGTGTTTGA